TATGTAAAAATTGGGCTAAATGCAGCTTTGGGGTTCGCTATCGTATAGCACGCAATCTGGAGTGCTACAGCATCTGAAGAAATCCTTCAGGGGGCATGGGCGAAACAGTCACATTCTTATAAGCAGAATCTCTCCCTCATAAACACTTAGCTGTTCGATCGATGCCTTGTTATGAGAGACTAAATGGATTAGCGCTCCAAGATTTCCCGATAACTATTGCAGGGCTATTGCGTCGTTAACGAATGCCCGATCTATCAAAAACTAGAGATCGAAGCGGCTGTAGATTTTCTGCACTAATTTCAATACACCGTAGTCTTTCCCTATCTTTGCCTCGCAACCCAAAGATTTACGCCGTGCCTTGGTCAAAGCGCTAAAAATTGGGGCAGAAATTACCCACAACTAGAGCCATGCGTACTGGTACTAATAGCTATGCCTATTAAACAGTATGCGCTATCGCAAGATACGGGGGCATTCCGATGGCAATACATCTTAGTCCGCGTAAAAATCTCTTTTTTTATAAAAACCGGTAGTAAGCTTGAGGAATGGAGAAGAAACTCCAGAGAAATTCCATTTTTCCTGAACTTCTTGTCCTTCCCTAGGCCCGGTCCCGGACGATGCCCCCTCATCTTGCGATAGCGCCAACAGGTTTTGATTCCTAGGAATACGTAACAACTATCCTTCAAACCCCGTTATAACTTAGCCAGAGAAGAATTTTTGCGGTAAACTTCTTTCAAATGCCATGTAAGAATTCCCCTATACTTAAGTCGCCCAGAACTAGAACAGCAACGTAACTTCAATCAGAAACCAGTTCTAAGGCAAACGTGGAATCCACCTTGCATTGCACCTTGCAACACTGTTGCTGGCTTTTTCCCCATGGGGAATCTCCGGAACACCCGGGTTGTATACTGGTAGGGTTCTGCTTTGCTATTCCCACTGATGACTCCTGGTCACTGGAACGCAATTCGCGTGATGCTTTGATTCAACCACTTTCTTCAGTCAATTACCTCTACTACCCTCTTCAACAAGGTGTTTATGTCTCTGGGACAATGTCCCCATCATCTCTTCCCTCCTTCACTTCTTCGTCGCACTCAAGAACAGTCGGCAATTATTGTTCCATACAAGCCGCACACGACGCCAGAACGTGTTCACAATGACGCCTGCTGTTTTCACAAACTAACCTTACACGACATCGGGCATTCTCAGGCTATCTGGGGTAAAAACCATACAATCCGAACGGCAATCAGTAAACCTATGACCTCGAACCTGATGAATTTCATCAAAGGAAAGGCTGTTCCCATCAAGGGCGTTAGGCAGGCCATGAGAACCTGTGAAATAGCCAACCTTTTCGAGAGAAAAAAAACTCAGCCGTTGCCCCCAAGGTCAACTCGTCGGATTCCTTAAAAACCAATCTTTTCCTAATTAGGGCAAAGCTAAAGAAAACGCCTCGATCGGCCTCGGCACCATTGCCATTTGCTTTTTTATATGGACTAACTCCATGTCTGGTTTGCTGGGGTAAAGCTGTGCCCTGAGAGTAAGAAGGCTCGGGTTGGAGTGTTCCAAAAAGTATAATCAAGTTGATGACAAGTGAGGATGTCAGAAAAGAAACCAAGGGTTCCCCACCCCTTCTGAGGTCACCTTTGGGCATCATAAAAAGCCCTATGCTTCGATGTGGTTGATCTTTAGGTGATACTGTCTGTGAAGGCCGCTTTTGCCCTGGATAACCATGGCCAAATGATTTTTCCAGCTCTATTTTCGCTCACTAACGCCGGGATCTCGACCAACAGCACTGCACTCAAACCCTGTATGCCATTTTGAGTCGTAGTGGTTTGACCTTGGACAAGGTTTTCTCACCATTCCGTCTACTTATAGCGCACTCGTGGCACTTTCGAGGTAACCAATTCCTGCGTGGTGTGGTGGTGTTGAAGAAATTCCTCTTAGCGAGAACAAGTGCAGCGACATAAAGAGGTGTCTGACTGCTTAATTGAGCATTTTAAGTGACATAATTGTCGCCTTTTGAGCTCACAATTGACGTTGGTGTTACGAGGATGCTTCATAAAAGCTTCTCAGACACGAATCGGTTTGGCCATCGACTAGCGCGGTCTCTGGTGAGGAGGACCAGTCCGTGACTCCTTGCGGAACGAGTTCGTATGACGATTGCAATCGTCAACTGGCGCCTTGTCGTTCCTTGTATCCGACTTACTAACGCCGTGAATGTGTGTGTGTGTGGGACTAACACGTTTGTATTAGGATATTGGTATTAGTGTGAAGATTCCGCGATTTGTCAGCCGTCAAACATGGAATGAGGGAGATTCGTGCACGGAACGAGGTCTACGCTTTCATTGTGTAAACGCCATAGTCATCCCGGAAGAACACCGGAACTCCCTCCCAGTCCTCGTCCCATTCATAGAAACACCACGATGTAACAAGTGTGCGACAATGGCACGAAGTAAGAAGCTGCAAACCTGCTCATGGTCGATTGCTCATAAAACGACACTTTTGCTGAGCTGTTCTTGAGTCACATTCATGTTTCCGGTTTGCTGGTTCCTTAGTATGACTTTATCAATGGTTTCAAACCCGTTCTATTCCATCAATAAATCTCTAATCGTGCAGAAATGATCCGACACGAGTAAAGCATAGATTTTGCACGATTCTGCACGATTGGTGCGCAAATGATGCGGAAAAGAGCAAAAACGGAACGCTCTTGATTGGCGCTGAAGCCTTTAAGCAGACTGGTTTTGGCAGTTGCTGGATCTTTCTAGATACGCCTCGCATTTAAAGGTTTTCTGTGAATTCCCAGGGCAGACAGTCTAACGTATGGGGTACCAAATTCGACAAACGGGATTATCGAACACGTTTAGGTTTTTTTTGGATAACAGTGGATAAATGATAGGGGAGGGGAGCATGCCGAGTGAACTGTGTGGTAGTTGATCCAGCGGGCCTCAAAGCGCATTGTGTTGCCTCTAAACCACTTGCCCACTTTAACAACTTTTATGTAGCTGATGGTTCGTCCATTTGTTACCCGGTGAACGGCTTCCTAACAAATCAAATGCAGCACCCTTCCTCTTCTTTAGGAAGTTCAACATTTTCTTCTTTACCACCTTCTTTGTTGTCGCTCATTATCATTGGTAGAATGGTCGAACTTAAAGGCATGCCCCAGGATCGCACTGGTGTGGCTCTTGCACACGAATGTGAATGTATCAAGTGGGCCGGCAGTGAAGAAAAAAGGAAAAGAATCCGTCGAAAACGCTCAGGTTGAGGGCTCACTCACCTTCCTAATTGGCTGTGCTAAAGGAACGAGAGACTAAGCGCGAAGAGGAGAGTATGGGGCGAGAGAGCGCATCAGATGAGAGAGCACCAGACAACGGCCTGATAGAGAGCTCGTTCGCTGCAGCTCGAGCAGCTTACTTTGCAAGCCCAAAGCGTTCTTGTCGGTCGAATTCCGTGCACGTGAACGCCACATTTGTGATTGTCCCCTAGGGTTCTATACTTCTGACCGAAGAGAAGAGTTACAAAAAACCTCTGCCTGGGTTGTGCCTTTAAATGGACTTCTTGTCAGCCACTTAGGCTTAGCTCACTGCATGTAGATGTCAAGTTCACGGCGCAACCCTCATAAATTGACTAGTAAGGAGCACCCTGAACGTTGTACGAAATTTAACGGAACGAGAAGATTTTTGAGCCAAACCGGGTGCGAGCGGAATCTAATCCCATGCTGGGAGCTGTTCCCTTTTCGTCCCACAGTAGCCTTCGTGTCAGCTGAGTCTTAGAAGTAGTGGCTCCAGTAAAGCTGGTGCGCAGTACTTAAGTCCTAATAATGCACCATATTAGATTTTCAACAGCACAGCGTCATTGTGCGGTCTTAGGTGCCCTAAACAGATAACACTTTCGAGCGGCAGGATGAGCTGGAGGAAGTTGCCGAGCAGCTATGAATTGGTAGTTATTCCACCTACTCCCATTTTATGCGCTATAGCAAGATACGGGGGCATTGTGGTGGCAGTGCATTTGAAGTCACGTAAGACATGCACTTTCTGTTGATAACGGAACTGAGCCTTAGGCGGTGGAGGAGGTCCAAAGTGCGTGAGTCATCCTCCTTATCCCCGTAGAGCCTGGTCCCTTCTAGGCTTAGTCCTAGAGGACGCCCCGTACATTGCGATAGCGCCCCATTCTCTTATACGTAATTTATGAGGCAGAAACTCGACCGTTATTCCCATGGAGAAGTGCTCTTAGGAGCTCCTCTACTACGACTAATAAAATCCCAATATCTGCCCTTTTTACAAGCTCATGTTTTTCGATTCTAGCAAGTAGGCAAAGAAGTGGTCCGTCTGGAATTCCTCGCGAATAGCGTTCGCGACACACTCGTTATCGGTCGATTGAATACGAGGAGGAAAACCTCTTTTTCGTCGTCGTTACCGCGGCCGCCTTTTCACCTCAAAACGAGTCTCTGTTCCTCATACATGAAAAGCACAGACAGTAAATTTAGACGGTCGACTTTATGATGTCAAAAAGCTGAAGGTGTCTCTTGCTCGTCATGCCAATCAACGAGAATTTGCTGAAAGGTTTTTCCAGAATCTATTGGGTGGTCGTTAAGTAAGAGTGCAACTTGGTCTTCTTAGTGATACTTTTTTATCTCTCCAAATAGCTACCGGTTACCTTCGCAACTCATGAACTCATCTGCGAATTGCTTTGAAGCGTTTTCGGCTCGGCTTCCAAACCTTCGGTACTATATGAAGCAACCAGCTCGGCCTTAGGTCAAGACATGAAGGGAAAACGAAGGGACGCAAGTGAGTGCACCATAAATTTAGGAGCCTCAAGGAGAGGTACAGCGCCGCGCTCAATTTGGAATACGCCGTGTACCCTACGACCAGCAGAGATAAGCGAACGTTGTAGGGTTGAAGGGATCGATGTTAACCTAAGCTCTTTTCTAAGGAAGCATGAGTGGGTAAGGACAGGAGGCTTTTTTAACCGCTGTATAGTATACGTAGGACTCTAAGGAACCAGTCAAGTTCGGGAACTGATCTAAAAGACCGACCTATCATTGCAAGAAGATAGGTTTGTAAGATCATTTCGATGAACAGATAAAGCGCTAAGCTGCACCTTACGTAGGAATGGTCGTCGTTCATGTATAAGCTTGCATCTCACCGTAAGCATACTAACCTTACCGTATGCTCGCCTGAGCAGAGCTGCAGATGCCAACGACCTTCGCCAAGTTCGGGCGACTCCCTTGATGAGTCATTCATATTAGGAAATCGATTTGAACTTATTGCGTGTCGAGTGTGTCATAACTGCCTTAGACTCTTCTCTCAAGATCGTGTCACTTTAGAAGGCCCGCCCTTCTTCTCAGACCTGCAGATAAATTCAACGAGCTAGAGACCAGTTCAGAACAAACTTGCTGTGTTTTTGATAGGAGCAAAGAGTTACGCTAGAGACCGTTTTAACCTCAATAGCGCCGGGCTGGATGACAAGCGAGGTCAAGCACCTGAAGTGAAGAAGTTCCATCAATTCCTGGTACAACCAGCTGCTTCGGAAAGGTCAAGCTTGTGATGTGAAAGGTAAACCGTAAACGTAAAGTGGTTGTCCTTGAGCCTCAAAGGTATGACAGGGGTTTGAGGGTGGGTGGGTGGACAGATAGCAAGGATCTTGGACGGGACACTCCGACAGGAATGTTATGGGACTCGTGACCGCCTCACTGATTTGCTCTGGTTCCGATTTCCAAACTTGTCACCTGCTGCTCAAGTCCTACCTTTTATCACCCTCAATGGTTGAAGACTGATTCGCTCGAAGTTAGGCAAATACTCTAGTGCTATATTATCACTTAAATTTGTAGATGAGGCACTGCGTGGCGCAAGCCGCAAAAACAGATCGATACATGGTCTTCTAGAGCCCAGCCGGCTAGCGCGAATGAGGGGACGGCCCGATACTGCGCTCCAGATTTGCGTTAGGAATGTATATAGTCAAATGCCATAAAAATACCCCTCGCATATAACCAAAAAATCGAGATCGCGAAGACTCATGGAAAATTCTCTGAAACCAGTTCCTTCTCATAATCCTTATAACAAGGTGTGATGCATGAATGCAGGCGACCTCTTTGGCCAATACTTATGCATAAACCAGAAACCAATTTCTTCTGAACAGGGCGTGTTCATCATCATCTTCTTATTGAGTGAACCTGATTAGCTCTGGTTTGCAAGAAGCCATCCATTCTGGGAATAAACCCTGTTTTCGTTTGACTTCATCATCTCGCTGGCGTCGAACTGAACCTGGTCATCGCCAATATCACAAAAGCTTGGTCCACTAAGCCCGAGAAATGGCTCAACAAAACTGGGGAAATATGCGCGCTTACCCTCGTGTTTATTCTTTGATATCATTTTTCTAAGCCCTAGCTCGTCCGAATTTAGTTGATATATAGCCCCCCCCCCCTTTAAATGTACTAGATTAGTCCTTACATTACTCCCACATGGGTGAAATAAATGCCTAATCGACCTGGATAGCGCAAGATCAATACTATTCGATATTTCAACACTATACTAAATAGAGAATCCGTGTCTTTAATACTCTCATTTGACCGAGCCAGTTTCATCCAATCCCTTTGAGTGGAAGAGGGGGCAGGTGGCACAACAGGGTACGTGCCCAATAGAGACAAGAATGTGGCCGAAAAATAACACTTAGCGGTCTAGCTTAGCGCACGGTATCCCGCTTCAGCACCTCTTGTTCCATCCAATTCAATAGCTAATGGGATTGCTTCAACTCCTTGACAAACGACCTTCTCTTGAGACGCTAGCGCACTTTTTATCTCGCCCATGAAGACTTTAAATCCAGATGATCGCATCGTCATCAAACCGAAATTTGCCGCTAGAAGAATGAGACTGTTCCCAGCCGGCTGGCCTGCATGCCTGTCTGCCTTGCTGCTGCTGTCCCACTTGTCCGGGGCGTTAATTGACGTCAGCGAAGGGCGATAAACCGGAACCGAACGCATTCAAATAGTACAACGACGTATTGTTGCGAAGCTAAACGGACGGACAGGGCCACACTTAGACAGGTTTCCTATAGCTCCAGCGCACGGACATGGCTAGGAGACGAATCCCATCAAGGTGCTAAGGCAATTCAGACTGACCACCTGCCGTTGTGGTCACACCTTGAATAACATTCCTCACATGCCTGCTACCGGGGACATTCGTAACGCATGGTTTTTTGGGATTGGAGGAAAATCCTGATTGGGATGACTTAGCCCACTTAGGTCTTCTCCTGTGACGGACGGAAGCCTGAATTATTACATAAGGTCTGAGGCAAGGAATGCAAGGCTTGGAATCCGCATAATCATGTTGATGGGGCTGCTATCCTTCCGATCTCCAGTGTTTCCTAAAATTATGAGTTGGCTGATCCTTGGCTCGGCTCTGCAAGCATCCATCACCCATTGGGAGCTCCTGATCGCCCATAAGCATTCACCGTAATTCAGACCGGTGCTCAAGATCAACCAGAAGGTAGGAGTGGGACAAGTAGAAGCGATCGTGATTCAGAATCACTGCTGGAAGGCCAACCTTGCATACGGTCGCAGCTCCAGCCTGGGTATTAGGCCTTATTTCCAAAGGTGAAATACATGGCATATCCGCAGCGGACGTAACCAGGAACCAACATTTCTGTACAGTATGGGAGTGGTGGGTGATTCGCTGGCTCTCCATTCCAGCTTCATTGAATGCATTTCACCCAGTCAACGGAGTTACTTCATATTCGGCTAACTGGTGTCTGGCTTTGCTAGCAATGGAAGAACTGGGCGGGCATCAGCTCTGGTTCGCTACTCGTTGCAAAGACCGTGTTCGGTTATGAGGTCATAGCTCCAGTGTTTTCTCCTGTTAACTTCAGTTGAAGTTTTGCCTACTGATCTTTTATTGGAGGAACGTTCGAATTCGACTGACCTGAGGTGATTTATAACTACCGACCAAACACTCACTACCACCGAAGTCCGAGACAAAGGGGTCATCCGTGAGTGTAGGCGGGGCATTAACTGTGATCAGGTCTTGTTAACTCAGGACCACCTATAGGCAGCAGGGCGAACAAGTACGATAGGACTTGAGGGCGGTGATTCGGAATATGCTGGGTTAGGACAACTGTATACGCGCTCTAGGCGCCGCCGTGAATTGTGAGGCTTTCTCGGAACTTACGCCGGCAATCGCAAGAGCTTCGAGGGGGAGGGCGGAGGAAAAGCGGAGGCATCGCGCGGCCGAGCTGCGATTTGAATCAAGCCTTTTCTCTGTTTTTTTTCCCTTTCACTTGTGGTCAATTTCTCTTAGCCAGTTGGGTTACTTCGACCTGTGAGTAGTAGGCTCGCTCAGTTTTCTCACAGTGAGAGGCCATCTCGAATTTCGAATGGGTTGAACTTTTGCACAGAAAGCTCGCCCTGTCTCATTCCGGTTTCACGCTGTGCCTCTAACCAGCTACATCTCTAGATTCGGGGTGTAGTATAGCCTAAAGCACCACCTCTGCGAACCTCATGAAGAGTTCGGTTTTTCAAAGTCGATTATCAACACAGGCGCTTTTTGATAATGAGCAGGGGCAGCGAGCAGTGATCCGCCCAAATTTACTGACTGAACGAACAGAGATTACGTTCAGAGGAGAGAGCTGCTGTAGCATCACAGGAATCAGGTGGAAAGATGAGGTATAAAGGGAGGAGCGATCTATGACCAGCAGGGTACTTCAACTCGAAAAGTGGTTGTTTCTACAGCGAAGAGGACATTACGAGTTGTAGAGAGGGCACTACTTTTCGTAAGATATGGGGGTTATTGCACGACATCGCCAAACGACCCATCTTTTAGGAAGAACGTTACGCTCACTCTAAGAAACCCACTTTCGCTTTCTCTTTGGAATTCCTGCATTCCAAAAGTTAGTTAGCTGTCACCAAGGCAAGCCCTTACAAGGTCTCTTATTCACTAACCCAGGTGTACCTCCTTTCCTCGAAAGGTGTTCGCAGGCCTTCGAGTATTCCGAATACGCTTGGTTATTAAAGCTGGAGATACCGAACTCGGGCTTAGGGATAGATTTGTAGGGAGCTGTTAAGAGGTAATCTGATCACAGCTTTACCTAATCGGAAGACTCGATGCGCACCCCGCGGGAGTGATCCACCGGTATGAGGCTCGCTTCTGAGATTGGGCACCTTTCTGAGCGTTCGATCCCTCTGCAGTCCTGAGCAGTTTAGGAATTCACTGCGCATCCCGAAGGAAGTGATAACCACCAGCACTTCAGCTACAGCATCAGCGCGATTCTTGAAATAGCGCGGTACCGTAGAAGGTGCACATACTGTGATGACGGCCCAGGTAGGTTCAGCTGCCTCCTTTCATCGCCCGAATCCTTCACCCTACAACATGCAACTCGGCTAGACAGAACTTGTTTCCTGATCTCTGTGGGCTGACTGACAATCTGTTCACCCCGTAAAATTTTGCTCGCTTATAAAGGTCATTGAAAGTACCCATAACCTCTACAAACCGGCATAACATTCGAATGCATAACCTACATCAGAGACTGGTTCGGGGAGACCGAGGTAAACTGCTTACACGCACTCCATTACCCAGCCCATTCACTGGTTATGAGCACTTGCAGCATAGCAGTAAATGCCTTCGTTGCCATTCCCTGTTCTGACTCTGGTGTAGAAATTTGTTCATCAGGTCGCGCTTCTAACCGGTTCACTTACTATGGGACAAATTGCACCAAGGTGATTTGCCATGACTAGATAATACTCACTTTATGGTTACTGACAAACCTGACAACTCACTTGCCTCACAAATCTTCTAAATGGTCGGGTTGCCACATAACAACTCGACACCGAAGCACATTTAGTTAAGTGC